TATGTGTATGTGTATGTGTATGTGTATGTGTATGTGTATGTGTATGTGTATGTGTATGTGTATGTGTATGTGTATGTGTATGTGTATGTGTATGTGTTTGAATGGGTGATGGGTGAGTAATTAAAAAACAAACTAAATAAAATACTACCGAGAAATGTTGATCCGCTACGAGCCTCAGTTACGATAATAATTTTGTTGACCGTATCGGTGCCGACAACAGGATATTCTGACCAATTGGGAGCTGAATCACGATTGCCGCGACTATTGGTCATAAATATTTTATTAATAAAATTATTATTATTATTATTATTATCCTTAAAATTGTTTTCTCTATCTTTGTTGTTGTTGTTGTTGTTGTTATCACTGTTTTTTCGGTAATCAATGTTAACATTGATAGCCGTATATTCACTAAACGATAAATACGAGAAAATTTTTTGCTTATTACTGATTATTGTCGGCAATAGTATTGTCCAAATAGTAAACAAAATCAATCCTATAATTAATAATTTAATTATTGAACACAATTTTATTGGTTTCATATCTCCAGAGAGAAAGAGAGAGAGAGAGAGAAAGTAATTGAAAAAATAGACTAATTTTTTAAAACTAAATTAAAACTATTTAAATAATAATAATTATTAAACATTAGTATAAAAAAAGGCTAATGAAAAAAATCAATATAAAATTTAAATAAAGTATTTGTATTTGTTGTGTATTTTTTTACTAAATTAGTTGAAATAATTATAATGTTTCCTATTTTTTCTGTATTTAATCGATTTAATAGACTAATAATAATAATAAAAAATAATACAATTAAAGCCATTAACCCTTAATATAATAGTATGAAAATATATTACAATAATTTGATTAATGCCTAAAAAAATATTTGATTTATAAGCAGATGATTAACAAAATATTTAGTTGAAAATATAAAAGCTATGCAAATACCGGCAGTTATTCAGAAAAATTTATAGATAATTATATATTATTGAACAACAAATAAATTAATTAAAAAAATATTATACAGTTATAAATTAATTGCTAATTAAAAAATTAAATTATTTAAATAAAATAAAATAGCTCAATTAAAAAAATTTATCTATCTAAATATTTAAGTTATTTTTATTTATTAATTAATATCAATTACTTATACAATAATTATTATAATCAATCAAATATATGTTTTTTACATATTATAAAATAATTATAATTATAACTATTTAATTAAATTAACTTTTTTTAAATATTCAAGTTCAATTTATCATAATAAAAAAATTAATTAATTTAATACTTAGTTAAATATAAATTTTAAAAAACAGTATATATATAAATAATAAAAAAATCTTAATGTAGATATTAACAAAAAATTAAGAAAATTATATTTTATTAAAATAATAATATTTTATTTTTAAATATCTAAATTAAATAAATACTAGATTTTTTAAAATAATTATTTGGAAAATTATGAAAAACCAGTTGAGAATACTCGATAGCATTTACAGAAAAATAACTTTAATAGCATATATATATATATAYACAGTAATTATCAGTAATTAATAAGTGTACAAATTATAGTAAATAAAAACTCATATAATAGTTTAAAAATTCAAAATTAGTATAAAAGTTTAATATCAAACAATAAAAAATATTTTTAAAAAATAAATAAATATAAGAATAATATTTTTGATGCATTGATAACATACTTAAAACCACGTGTTTTACGGCAGTAAAAGTATATTTTTTAAAAAGTAACTATTGTTTTTGATTTTCATCGATTTGAATGATTATTATGACATCCAATACACAAAAACTGTTTGTGAATTTTGGTGAAAATTACTTTTTCCAAACTTCTAGCGAATGTTTTTTCCACCAATAGGTTTGTAACTTTGTGTGAAAGTGTTTGGAAAATTTCTGGAAAATATGTTCCAAAATTTTAGAACATTAGACGCGCATAAATAATGTCAACTAAAAATCGATTTTTAGTTTACGTTATATATGTAAAACAAATCTTGTAATTGTATTTGAAAAATGTGTTCATATTATAAAATTTATAAATGTTTAGATGAGTTAATTTATAATAGTATATCTAAATTAATATTAATTGCTATTTAAAATACTGTATATAATGTAATGTACAGCCTGGCTCATCATGTATCATCTTATTAAAATTAGCGCTATTTCTATATTTTAAATTAATGTAAAAAATTTTTACGGTAGATGGGGTAAGGGGTAGTTGGCTTTTTGTTTGTTAGTTTTTAAAAAGATCTGAGTCTCAAAATGGCGTCGGCACGCACCACATATTCAACTGAACAAAGAGTTAATATTTTCCATATATTTAAGTTGGCAGTTATGAGGCAACCGTCAAAGCATTTAAGTATAAATATGGCAAACATTTAATAATCACTGGAAAAATTGTGAAAAGTTAGTCATTTTAAAATAAATTTTTTTTGGATTATTTATCAAATTTTAATTAAAACACTTTATGTTAATTTTGAGTATTATCGATAAATTTGAGAGAACTAGTAGTGTTCTTGACGAGTTGACGTATACCGCAACAAAAGAGTCACCAGTGTTTACAGAGGACAACATTGAACGCGTCAAATATTTATACGAAAATCAGCCGTCAACATTATTGTAATAATATAAATATTGTTATATCTTATACTGTAATTTAAATTAATGTTATTAATAATTGTAAATCAAAATCGATTTTGATTATTAAAAATACTGTAATATATTATAATGTAATAAAAAATTTGTTATATCATACTGTAATTTAAGATATTTTTTTATAGATTATAGTGTATTTGTTAGTGTAATATCTAACTTTAAATTGATTTTGATTGTAAACAAAATATGCTGTAATTTATTGTAATTATTTAAGAATTTTTTTTAAGAAACTCCATAAATTTCAATAATTTTTTTTCATTTTCAAAAAAACTGAATTTTTTTATATTTTTTATTATATTGAAAAATATTTTCTAAAATGTTTCACACAACAAAGTTATGGATAATTAATTTCTAAATTCAAGGAAAATAATTTCTAAAACTATTCATAGATTTTGGTGTTTTTGGAAAATTTTACACGATATCTTCAACGAGGGTTTTGTGTGAAGTGATACCTAACAAAGGAATTGAAGTGAATATCCGACCATCAAATCTGAAGATTCAATAATAGTGACCTTATCTGACAACACACCAGCAAATAGTAATCACATAACTGTCCAACTATATGATCGCTTTGTTAGTTAAACTACAATATTTGTCGTTATAATTAAAAAAGTCAAACAATTATTGTTTCAACAATCAATGTCTGATGCGAACGGAGAAACTGTTGCTTTGATTACCGTCGCAGTCAATAACAGATATTTACTTTGATTTTAATTAACCGATTATAATATTTTGTTTTTGTTTTTATAATAGCAATGAAGCAAAACCAAGAAGACAATCGGTGGCAACAAAAGCCAATGATTTTACTTATAAAAATAAGCCTGATTATAATAAAAAATTATGAGGCCTACTTATCATATTTCTTTTGGATTTTGTTCGCACAAACAAATTTTAAGAACATTTATCATTTGCTATATGTTCTATATAGGAATGATGCCCAGCGAATTGAATGGCCAGTCCAACACCTCATACTCGTTAGCAAGTGCATTATTTTATTTGAAAAAAGCCGCTGGGATACATCCATTGTGGTCATTTGTTCTGATATTTATTTGTGGTAATTGTCACTTTGGCCAGGCAAATTTAATTTGTTGCCGCGCCATGAAGTTTCTTCAAACTATAATCGTCGAGCCATTTTTGGTTCTTTTTCTACCCCAACTCTTTAATTTATGACGATAGAGCAGATAAAAACTTGTCCAATACAATAATACTGTAACTCAAATCTAATGAAATGAAAACCAATATACAAAAAAAATGTATTGCAATACAATATTATTGTAACTCATTTGTAATAACACAAAATACAAATAAAAATAAAATAATCAATAAAATAACAAATAAAATTAATACAAATTATTTTCTGATCAGATATAAAACAAAATATATTTTTAATTAATTAATTTTTAAAAATGAATCTAATAGATATTTAAAGTAATAATATTACATTGAAATCACATGTATTTTAAAAACTTACATTTGATTATGTCAGATAGTGGGGGTTTGGATCTATCCGACAATAGTTATAAATATTATTATTAAATAATTGCAGTCGATTTTAGTAAATTAAAAATAATAATTTTATTGAATATTTTAAATTAAAAAATACATTTAGTGTAAAATACTTGAGTATAATATCAATACTCATGAGAGAGAATCACATACAGTATAGAGTGATACAGAGCTTATATACCCATTTTATGATATGCATTGTACAGTATATTTATAGTGACCACTGTCCCTGTGTACCCTGAGGTCAACACTGACCCTGGATATCTGGGAATCAGTGTGCACCTGGTGTCGGTGTGTTTGTCAGTATATTTGTAGTTAGTTTTTATTGGTATACAATAGTTTATTTTAAGTGTATATTGAAAATTGTTTGTATGATGTGTGGGAAAATATAAATATACAGTATTTGTTAAAATGTTTATTTAATTAAAATTAGAGAAAAATGTTTAAATAAATGTAGTTTTATTGAACACCACTACAATTATTTTTATAATAGTATACTATTTTATTGTTTATATGTTATTTTAATTTAATACAAAATTTTTGTATATTTATTTATATAGTAATACAATTGAAATACAAATAATAAAATTTAAACAAATATTACAACTCATAATTGAGATATTTGTGTACGTAATTAATGTATTTTAAATAAATTGTATTTTAATACAAAAATATTGTATTTGTTTTTTTTATTTGGATACAAAAAATTTACAGTTATTATATTTTTTTTGTATTTATACCTATTGTATTTAAATACATTTTTTAAAATATAAATTGAGTTGTATTTAAATACACTTTTTTTTGTGTGTATTTAATACATTTAGTTTTAAGAGGCAGTCAATTGATCTTGCGCCACGTAATTTTTGAATAACTTTAAACGGTTAGAGATAATTTAATTCTGTAAAATACATTTAAGAATATCATATTGACCACACTTTCATAAAACTAGGATGACCAGATATACAAAATATCGGAACCAACGAAAGACACTATGCTACAGGCCAAACTACAACTGACAAATTTATTATGACAATGATAATTTGTAGTCAAGAAATAATATTTTAATTTAAAAAAGAATCATCAAAATCGGATTGGTAGTTTTATTTTTATGGCTTGTTAAGTTTATCATAAATCATATTATATAAAATAGTCTAAAATAAAAATGACGTTATTTATGAATATTATATACTTATTAGATGAACGTTTCAATTATATAACTATTTCTAAAAACAAAATTTTAAAATGTTGAGTAGTTTTTAAAATAATTGTATTTCTATAGAAATTATAATATCAAAATACAATAGTGTGATTTTAATTGTAATTCGATTATTTCGAAAACTTTTCAACATTTTAAAATTTTGTTTTTAGAAATAGTAATATAATTGAAACTTTCATCTAATAAGTATATAATATTCATAAATAACGTCATTTTTATTTTAGACTTTTATATAATATGATTTATGATAAACTTAACAAGCCATAAAAATAAAACTACCAATCCGATTTTGATGATTCTTTTTTTATATTAAACTATTATTTCTTGACTACAAATTATCATTGTCATAATAAATTTGTCAGTTGTAGTTTGACCTGTAGCATAGTGTCTTTCGTTGGTCCCGATATTTTGTATATCTGGTCATCCTAGTTTTATGATTGCGTGTATATTAAGTGTGGTCGATATGATATTCTTAAATATATTTTACAGAATTAAATTATCTCTAACCGTTTAAAAGTTATTCAAAAATTATGCGGCGCAAGATAAATTGACTGCCTTTTTATATATTACAATAAATTCTATATTATTTAATACATTATATATTTTTATATTACAGTATTTCTATATTTTATACAATGAGTGATTTTGATGTTTGAAATAAAGTTTTTAAATATTATTTGATCTGATTTTTTTATAGATAATAATTTTCAGTAGCTATAATTATTTTTTTTTAAATAAAGTCAATTAATTATTTTTTAATAATAACACATTTTAATTTGAATATACAGTATATATGATAATCTATTTGCAGTAAAAAAAAATAACAAAACTAAATAAATTCTTTACTAAAATAAAGTTAAAAACTCAAACAAAATATGGAATAAAATTAATAAAATAAAAAACAGAAAATCATTTGGCTTTAGATGTCTTTGCTTTTGATGGAGATTTTGTCGGATCAGTTGAACCACCAGTTTTCGATGGACTGATCGTTTTCGTGCCTTTAGTTGGCTTAGACTTTGCCGATCGGGAAGACCGTAGCTTACCGTTGCTTACATTAGATGTTGCCGATACTGATGATCCATCTAATCAATTATAAAGATATTAAATAAAAATTATTACAAACATTATTTGTATATAAAATAATAATAGATTTAAGACAACAACAAAAAATCTAACCTCTCGTTACTTCTCCATCTCCTCCCTGTCCAACATATTTGCGATAAAATATAATTAGTCCGACAATAATGACCACCAAAACTACGATAACGACAACAAGTATTATCATAATCATTGTCTTCGATGAACTGGATTTTGTGTCCAAAGAGCAGTCAATCAGTTTCTTCATGTTTGATGGTTTGCACTGAAGAAAATAATTAAAAAAAAAATTATACATTGATTGGCAAATTAAATGTCAAAATTTTCAAAATCAGTTTCAGTATATATATATATATATAATGCAAACAACATACGGCCGTCTCATTGAATGGTTGTCCCACATAACAGTATCGGATGATCTGATTTTCATTGGTAAATACAATAGATCCCTGGCCATTGATACTGTTTGGATTACTAACACCATTATTATCATACAGGCTATACTGGCCGACAATTGTCATCAATTCAATGTTCAATTTTCTTTCTTTTGTACCGTTAATAATCAATCTTTGGATATCTTCTCCTACTATACTCGGTATCCCTTTTACCGGATTGTTTGGTTCATAAAAATTATAGACAATTGTCTGGCTATTAGACCAAAATGCTGACAACCGTTCTCTGAATCGAAACGGCTGCGGTAGCCAAACAAACTGGGGTTTAAAGTTGGCCTCAAAATCAATGTTTGTTGAATCTGTTTGTTCAATAAGTCTAAGGGTATCAAAGTTAACAAAAGCCCAATCAATGGTTTTCAGATTTTTCTATTAAATATATATTAGATTTTCATCAATTGATTGAGTGATTATTATTATAAATACTAAATGATTAGACTTTTATTTTCATATTTTTTTTATATATAATACCTTTAGTCCGGCGACACGACAGTGATTGTGGTTTGCGCTGACAATCGTTGGTTTGTCTGTTTTGTTAAACCAATTACACCAAACCATAGAGTAGTTGTCACCGGTTATAAAGTTGGATTCGCCGTCACTTTCGTTATTAATGGTAACTGTTTTGGTGTCGTCGGAGCCGTCAATGTATTTCAATTTCCAGTAGGTGTTACCGATGAAGAAGAATTTGCCGTCCAATTCATTCATACGATAAGCGAAATCAATTTTCTGTCCGTTTCTGTGGTATTCCTTACAGAAATTTTTGGACTTAACGACAACGACTAGGACTACCTGTGCGATGATCGACACTAACAGTGCTGTCAAATCAAATCAATTAAAAAAAGTATAATATTTTATTTATTAATTCAATTGATTGTCTCTGATATGTGATATATATAAATACCTATTAGACAAATAGCATTCATTGTGGTCATCGATGAAACTGTTGGTGTAATCAAAATCAATCGTTTTTTTATGTATGAATTAATGTACGAAATTATTTGAACAGATATTAGACACAAATTTCATGTAATAGTTTTTTTATCGAAATAAAACTAACGTAAATTACAATTTCAAATTAGATTAATTCAAAAAATATAATATTATATATAAATCACGTGAATTTAATTAATTAATTCATTTAATTATTATTGTTATTATTTGTTTATTTATTATATATACAGTATATATAAATACCTATTAGACAAATAGCATTCATTGTGGTCATCGATGAAACTGTTGATGTAATCAAATAAATCTATAATATAGAGAGCCTGTAGAAAATTATTTGCGCGTTTCGTTATTATATAAACAATAATATCGATAAACTAACCAAAGAGTATCGCAAATACTTTTTCATCGGTAACACCTACTGGAAGTTGACATTCATTGACGGCAAGGATAAGACAGTTATCATTGATGACGAAAGTGCCGGTCAGTCTATACTGGTTGTCGGGCGACAAATATTCAATGGCCTGGTCTCAGGAGGGTTTTGACGACATCAGTCAAATAATTTTCTACTGGCTGTTTATAATATAGATTTAAGCCGAACTTTTTACCCAAACCTTTCAAATATATATTTTATATATGTATAACTGAATTAAAAAAAACAAACAAACATAGATTTAAGCCCAATATATATAATGTATATATGTATATTATGTATTGTATTGAACTTTGACCCAAAACTTTCATATATATTAATTTGGTTTTTAAAAATAGAAAAATAAGAAATCAATTGAATTGGATGGGACTGTCGGATGATAGCATGAATTCAACTAAATTCACACTATTTTACCCAATCGACAATCAATTTTACAAATAGCTTTCAACCTATATTTGCATGGATACCGATACCATTGAAAGATGATTATTTGCTAACATTTTGGGATAACAAAGCTATGACCAAAACCGTTATCTTTAAAAACTATTATTATATGTTAAATGTAATTAATGCTAGTGTTCAGGAATTGGCGATAATAACTGGGGAACGGGAGAAACAAGTGAACAAACTAACTAAAAATTGATGGCAATTATTGAACAATATAGTAATTATGATTACGATAATTATCCTAAACATGGTTATTGGAGAGGTTAGGGATCTATAGTATTCACGTATATCGACACTGCCATCAAATACTGTTATGTGGCGGACAACCATTCAATGAGACGGCCGTATGTTATTTGCATTGTATATATATGACTAAATAACTGATTTGACATTTAATTTGTCAATTAATGTATGATTTTATTTTAAATTTGATTTTCTTCAGTGCAAACCATCAAACATGAAGACACTGATCGACTGTCCTATCAGTACATCGATAACAATGATTATGATAATACTTAGTGTCGTTATAGTAGTTTTGGTACTCTTTATTGTCGGACTAATTATATTAATTAACAAATATGTTGGACATGTAGTAGTAGGAGGAGGAGGAGGAGGAGGTGGACAGTCATGTATTATAATACAAAATAATTATTAACATTTAGAAAATATAATATATAATAGTTTTTATCGTAAATAATAATCTTAATTAATTATCGTTTAATTTTTGTTTTAAATCTATTCATAATAAATTCATTGATATCTCATCAGTATCTGGTCTACAATCGTCCCGATCGGCGATGTCTAAGCAAACTAATGGGTCGACTGTTGTTTTTGAATAATCCTTAATCCAATGACATCTAAATAATATGTTTTTATTAATAATAAAAAATAATATATATATGATTTGTATTTTGTTGTTGTTATTGTGTAAATTGAATGTCAATATTACTGTATATTTATAAATAAAAAAAAATGTTTTATGATTTATTAATGTCATTATAGGCACGCGATTATTATTTCTACAGTAAATTAAATATATATATATATATATATTTAAATTGTTGTCGTTTTTAATGTTTTTACTAAAACAACTAATTTTTGATTTGTTAAGTCATAATAGATATTATTATATATATATTTCAAACCACAAAAAACAGTAGCTTTTATCTATACATATACTATATATACCATCGATATATTTCATCGACAATATGAAAGACATTAGCTGTCAAATCGGTATTTATTATAACAACATTTGATAAGTTTATAATAACTGTTTAATACAATAAAACTGTTGGTTTAATAAAAAAAATTGATAGCACTGTTGGTATTGGTGTTGACTATGATATCGGTTGTCATTATTGAGTCGAAAAAATTTTGTCAAGAATTCATGAAAAACGACAACAAAATTGATTTCGCATTTCGTTATTATATAAACAATAATATCGATAAACTAACCAAAGAGTATCGCAAATACTTATTCATTGGTAACACCTACTGGAAGTTGACATTCATTGATGGTAAGGATAAGACAGTTACCATTGATGACGAAAGTACCGGTCAGTCTAACTGGTTGTCCGGCTATGACTATTCTATGGCCTGGTCTCAGGGATTTGACAGATCACTCAGTCAAATAGGTGCTTTGCGGGTAATTCATATATAGAAAATTATTTGCCCCCAAACCCATCCCCATCCACCCACCCACCCAACCAACCACTTCCTAACCTCTCACACCCATCCAAATAAAACCGGAACAAATGTAGATTATAGACAATCAGTAGAAAATTTCACTTAAAATTTGTCCCCAAACCCATCCCACCCCCCCCCCCAACCAACCACTTCCTAACATCACACCCACTCCAAACTAACCGTAACTAAATAATAATTAAATAATAAAACTAACATTTTATTTGTGTATAACTGCATAAAAACAATAATTTTCTACTGGCTGTCTATAATATACATTTAAGCCATATTATGTATTGTATTGAACTTTGACCCAAAACTTTCAAATATATAATAATTTGGTTTTTTTTAAAAAAAACTAGAAAAATATGAAATCAATTGATTGGGTGGGACTGATGGACGGTGGCATGAATTTAACTAATCCACTCTATTCTATCGATTCAGAAATCAATTTTGCAAATAACTTTCAACCTATATTTGCATGGATACCGATACCATTGAACAGAAAAACTGATTATTTGCTAACATTTTGGGATAACAAAGCTATGACCCAAACCTATAACATTACACACATTAATAGGATGTCGAATGTAACCGATGCTAATGTGGAGGAATTGGCGATAATAACTGGGGAACGGGAGAAACAAGTGAACAAACTGACTAAACTGATGACAATTATGGCACAGTATAGTCATTATGATTACGATAGTTATCCTAATCAAACTGATATGAGAGGACAGGGATCTCTAGTATTCATGTATGTCGACACTGCCATCAAATACTGTTATGTGGGAATACCATTCAATGAGTTGGCTGTTAGTTAATTTGTTATATAATAAATTAGATACAATTTTCTAAATTTATTTATTTATTATTTTAATTTTGTTTTTTTGGTTAAATATAATTTTCAGTGCAAATCGGATAACTTGAAGACATTGATTGATTGTTCGCCGACTAAAAGTTATTTATTGTTTACTGTTATATTGATTGTCATCGGTTTTGTACTGTTTATCATAATTATTGGTTTTGTCTGTTATTTGTGTTGTAGTTATTATAGACAAGGACGGAGAGGTACAGTATATTTGATTTTATAAATAATTTTATTTATAAACTGTTGTTAATTACTGTATATTTGTGTATCTAATATAATACTATAGATTCAGAAGTATCAATAAGCAGATCATCAAACAAATCATCAAAAAAGTCGTCAATGTTAGGCACCGGTAGTGACAAAAAGTTGGCTACGAGTCCATCAAAAGCCGACAAATCAATGGTTTTATCAAAACCCCAGTCAATAGAGCCGACATCTAAACAAAAATGATTTTTTATATAATTTTTTGTTTAATGTTTAATGTTTAATGTTTAATGTTTATTGTTTGATTTGATTCAAGTATTTAATAGTTAGATATTATCTAATACTTAAATAAAAATTATTATTTATTTGTTTCTAATAATAATAAATTTTTAAATTTTTTATATCATTTATTTGCACTATATTTATGTGCATTTCTTAAACTTAATTATAAAAATCAATTGTAATTATTATTATTATATATATATGTAATAAAAATAAATAATTTATTTTAATAGAAAACAACAAACCATTTAAAATTTAATTTATAAATATACAGTAGAGTTGACATTCAATTTACTCAACAACAACAAAATATAAATCAAATAAAAAAATTATTTGGTTTTATTAATATAAGTATTTTTATTTATTTTTCAATTGTTATTATTCTAATCAAATTAAATTCATATTATTTTTTTCTGCATAATTTTATATACATTATTGTATTAATATATACAGTATTATATAATAACAATTTACACTATTTATTTCAAAATGTAAAGTTTTTGTATTAATTTGATAAACTGATAGTTTGCAAAATTTACAAAACATCTATTTTAAAAAAAAAAAAATTCAATAAAAAAACTGTTTATATATGTATAGTAATTAATTAAGATTTATAAGTCAACAACACATATATCTATACTGTATATATAAATTTATAGCTGTTTTGGACTGTCATACAAATGATAGACCGGCCGATTGTTGTTGTATTTGTATAATAACTGGTTGTGGTTGTGATTGTTGTCCACCCGATACCTGCTGTACAACCATAATAGGTATGTCCACACTATTACCAGTTAATTTGTTTGATAGCTCCCGTTTGAAATCATTAAGCGATTGAATTTTTTGTCCATTAATTTCAACCACAATATCGTTGATATTAAGTTTGTTACTGAAAATAATAATAATTAATATTAGTATTCAATATAATATTTATTTGCTGTGCACTTACTTTGCATTAGTTTCGGCAAACTTTGCCACCACTTGACAGCCCATCAATTGTCGGTCATATTTCAGGCACAGTCCTAATCTGATGGAGTGTTCAGGTATTCGGCGTTTATATTGTCTAACACTGCATTCAAATGCCGTTTTGATAAACTCTTGTAATATACACACACATAAAAACAGTTTATTATAATAATAGTAATAATAATATATTAAATAAAACATTTATTACTTTCAATATCGTTGGCCGGCATAGCGTAATGCAGTGTAGAGGACAGTGACATAAAATTAATGCCAACCAACTGACCGCTGTCATCGATGAGCGGACCACCAGAATAGCCTCTATACTGTGCAGCTGTACTCTGGGTTACCGGTGTGTCGGCATTGGCCGTTACAAAGTATACTTCGCCGAAAGTCGACTGTCCTCGTTGTGGTGTATTACTAGGACAGGTGACCATACCGTAGCCCATGTTGTAGACAGGATAGGACCGATGAAAACCCAGGGACATAACTGGTTCGCCAAAATCGACGCCCGACTCGGCAATCGGAAGCGCTTCGGCACCGGTATTGTCGGCATCAAACGATATCAGCGCCATGTCTTGCAGATGATCGGCGTATATGACTTGTCCGCACGCATACCTATCGGCACCGGTATCATCCAGAAAGCCCAGCGATACTACCCATTCGTCTTTCACTACATGATGATTGGTTACGACAAACGGATAGTTGCTGTGCTCGACAATACATCCCGTTCCGTGTCCACCACTTTGTAACTTAAAAAAAATTTATTTGAAAAAATATATGTATTTTTTAATAACTTTTATATATATATATATATATATAATACTGTAGTTATTAAATAATATTTGAAATTTTTAAACAATCATTATATACATAGACTTCGACAAACTTGTGCAGAGCATAGTCGTGCAGCTCCTGGATGTCGTCCGCAGAGTCCAAATAAGCCGTTTTCATGCCAACCAACCAATGTTGTGCTGATGATAGTGCTGAAGGTAGTGATAGTGGTAGTGGTCTATAAAATGATGGGGTAATAGATGTGACAATTGATGGGACGTTGCCGTCGACAGTCCGGCCACTGTGTCGGTGACGATGATGTCGACAATGATTATAACAATAATAGATACTAAACGTTGTTGTCGTCATAATAAACGATAGATGATATCTGTGAATAAATTGAAGACAACAATATATATATATATATATATATATATATATATATAAATATCAATTAAATATATCAATCAAACAACAAAAAAAACCGCTAATTAATTATATAATAGTACTATAATTTATTTTTCTAAATATACATTACTTTTTTTTGGTTAAAATATTAATTAATTGTCTCATTTTTTGTGTGTATTTGTTTTGTTAGCTTTCAAATTAATGTCAATGTTATATAAATTAATTCATCTATCAATCTATATATTCAATAAATTATATAAATATCTAAATAATTACTTAATTGAATGATAACTACAATAAATTAAATACAAGTATAATATATATATTTATATATATACGGTATATCTATATATCTATAGTATTGTTTGAAAAAGTTTGTTAAATAAAAAAAACAGTTATTAAACAATGTATGTGTGTTTGTATGACTCGCACTGTAAAGTATATTAAAATTAATATATAATAATAATAATTAATTAATTACTTAATAAATTTCCTAAAAAAAATTATGACTAAATTATAACTATTGATTTGAATATTTATGTTTTTTAAAAAAATTTTTGGCCAATATTTAGATCTAGAAAATGTATGTTTTTTTAAATAAATAAATTAATAAATAGTTTTTTTTGGAAAAAAAAAGTTTAGACTTTAATCTATTATATATTACTGTATATCACAGTAAACATAAGTGACAACAAAAAAAACAAAAAAAAATTGATAAAAATATATAACATTGAATTTTTTTTATTAGATTTAGTTTTATTTTATTTATTAATAAAATTTTCATAATATACTCTTTATTAAAAATACTATATATAGTATATATATAGTCAAAAATGACTATAAACTTAATCATTTAAACATTGCTTATATATAAATAAATGATTAGTGACTAAAACATATTATAATTATTTCATATAATAATAATAATTTCATAAATTTCAAAAACATTTTCACATATAATCCCATAATTTTCCACAAAAAAATTTTTGAAATTAAAATAATAATTAACAAACAAACAAATTATCCAAAAAATATATGTGAAATATCTAATATACATGATTTGATACTAATATTATTATTGTAACTAAATATTAATATTAGAGATACAAAAAAATATATTTGAAATATTAATCAGACAAACAAAACAAAAATTAATTTAAAATGATTAATATATATATTGTAATTAAATCATCAGAAAAAAATTTCCTATATATTAACTATTCATTGTTAATATAGTCATTAAAAACAAACAAATATCTGCACATATAGTGTATATAAGGCCTGATTTTTAGGCACTGGTATCTCATTTTTAATTAGCCGGTCAAGTGATTCACTACAAGTTTTTATTATTATTCAAAAAAAAATCACTCATTATTTTTAATATATTTTTATTAAAAAAATAATAATAAATTCATTGATAGTATTTTATATATCATTTTTTTTTAATACTTATTATTATTTGCCGAAACTATGTGTTCATCAATGATAAAGACGACAACAACTCTGTTAGCTATGCTAACTGTGCTCACCGTACTGGCCAGTGCCCAGTGGACTGGCGTAGTACAGAGCGGTCAACAACAAAGTGGTGGCCAATTAGCGTCCGAGGACGAGTCATCGGCTGCGGCAGCCAATACAGTGTCCATCGAGTCGATGATGACTGAAGCCGAGCGCCGCGGTATGTCCGTAGTGTTCAACACCAGAGGCCGAATGATGCCATTGATATTCAATCCGTTATCCGATTTGGTTACATCCATAAAACCGTTAACAGTAGTCAAGTTGGGTGCCGCCTACTCGGCCATTGTCTACGTAGTTGCCTATTTGTTTCCCTCAGTATTCGGCCTGTCGGCTGCCGCCCGCAGTCTCGGCGGTGTCTACTCGTTGCCGATGACACTGGACTACGATTCGGTTTACCGATCGGTGACTACGGCCAGCGCCCGAGTGGGCACATTCATGCAGATACCCGAACCTGAATGTCGCTATCGGGCTGTATGCGAGGCGGCAACCTATGTGGCCACCAAGGTACCAGTGCTCAACGATTGGGCCAAAAAAGTATCCGGTGCATTTTTCCTCAATCTGGCCAACCCGTACTCGAAGGCCTGGATCAACGGTATGATGCAGATTGATTGCGGTCAGACCTACTACCAGTGCCAGGAATCGCCGTACAGGACACTAATGAACCGATTTGTGGCCAAAAGATAAATCCTATATTAATTAGTATTTAATTTTGTTGTTTTAAATGAAATATTACTTTAAAAAATTATATTAATATTAATATATTTTAATATATTTAAAAACTTTTAAATATTTTTATTTCATTTTATATGATAGTATTGTAATTTTTTTTGTCATTATATTTGAATTATAATTTTATAATCAATATATTAATCTATTTTATTATTAGATATGCTTTTTTGTTAATATATTTTTTTATTGATTTTGAATTTATATGATATAATAAAAAAATACTTTTAATTTTATAACAAATTGAATCAAATTTCAATCCAACCCTTGAGTTTATCTATGATATGAGTTTATAGATGTCGGCACCGGTATCAAAAGCTAACTGAGCAATCTGCCATTAAGTTTTTTTTGGTGCAAACTATATTACATAAGTTTTTAACACTAATTAGTTTATATATATAAGACTAAATATGTATATAATATATACTATATATATATATATTTAGTGAAACTTTTTATCATTAAATTAACTGTTAGTTTAATTAATTAATAACTTTAAATATTTAATATTAATAAAATTTTTAATTTAATTTTTCTAGTAAATATATTTTTTTAAAACTATATTAAAATTGAAACAAAAAATGATTGAAATACAATTCAAGTTTTATTTTTAACAAACGTTTATTTTATTTTTTTAATAAATTCAATAATAATATAATGTTATAATATATAATTATATTATAATAATATAATAATAAAAATACAAATAATAATAATAATAATAGTAAATAAAAATTAAATGAAAAAAGTACAATAAAATAATGTATGAATTTGCTTATATTATATAATAAAAATGTTTAATATATTTATAGATAATAATAATATATTTGTTTTTTATCAATTATCAAATTATGATAATTTCTGAACAATCAATAATAATTAGTAATAATGATAATTAAAACAGTTTTACAATTGACAACAAATAAATTTGTTTATGTATTTATAATAATAATAATAATAGTACACATAATTATATTATTAAATGTAATATTATTAAAAAACAACTAACTTTTAAAAAATATAATAATAATATTATTATATTATAAATACTTAAAATTGTTTTTTTTCTTTGGGATTCTCGCAATAATAATACTAATAAAATAATACTTATAATTATAAATTAAAATTCAAATTATATAATTAGTACAATTTGTTTGTGTCAATAATATTACAATTATATAATAATAATAATAATAACAATTATTTTTTTTACTTATTATTTAATACAATTTGTTATATATATATATATATATATGTTATTTTGGTAAAAATGTAAAAAACAAACAAAATTTAACAAAATAATAATAATTAATTATATCAATGTCTAAAATTATAGAAATTAATTATACATACATATTATATATATATAATATATTATTTTATTTAAAAAACAAAACAATTAATTTGTTTTATTAATTAAATATATATATAATTCGACTTGAAGTTATCATGTTAATTTTTTTAAAATTTTTTTTAATTGTCATTATATTTTTGTTTTTTATTTTATTTTGTTTTAATTTTATCAATTGACTTGTCCAAAATAATATAATGCAATTTTTTTTATAAATCAATAATTAATTAATTTGCTGAATTAATTAAATTAATTAAATTAACATGGTACTATATGATTCACACACACATGCACACAAATTTATATACAAGTTTGATATTTATAAATACATATACATCTAACTAACAAAAAATAATAAATGTATTTATTTTTTTTAATAATAATAATTACACACAAAATTATATATATATATATATAGTTTAAGTTGTTTTTTATATAATATATATATATATTTGTGCGATTAATACAATATTTTTGTTTCACAACACATGGAAACAAAAATTATATCAAAAAAAACATAAGTTAGCGCCTAATAAATAAAATAAAAACATTTTATATATGTATTTAAAATTAAAAATTAAATTATTAATTTAAAATTTAATCAAAATACACACATATATATATATTTAGTATAGTTTGTGTGTTATTTTTATTTTACTATTTTTTAATATATATATATAACTTTTATAATTGATTAAATTGGGACTCGAAATTGTATGTATGTATAGCTCTTAATTGTTATCATTTTTTTTAAATAAAAAAAAAATAATAATAAATATAACAAAATAAATTGGGACTCAAAAATTCATAATTAAAACTAATTAATTAATTTAAAAAAAACTATAAACAAATTGATATCAAAATCATGACTACTACTCAGATTTAATTGGTGTCAATTAAATTATTTACAATTAACTTATATTTAATATAACTATTTGTTTGTTTGTTTGTTATTATTAATTGGACTATCAATATGTATAAGCGGTCTAAATATAAATATTTATTTATTATTATTATAATGAATAATATCTACTAACAAATTCAGCAAATTTTAGTTAATTGATAGTTGTTTTTAAATTAATAATAATATTAATTAATATATATATATAATAGTAATTAATAGTAACAATGTTTTGTGTAAATAATTTTTTGTTTGTGTTAGGTTTTCATATATGTCTAATATGTTATCATACAATACACTAGTTATTATAGGGTAAAAATTATATGATAAGCGGGTGAGTGATTGAGTGAGTGGGTGAGTGTTTGTTTGTTGACTAGCACTCTGTCCTCCAAAATATACTTTTTTAAAAAAAAAGTTTCAATACTCATGTATTTAGTTTATACTGTATATATAATATGTGATATTTATCACTAAATTATATATTAATATATAAACTTATATCTAATACTATGATTTTTGTTAGCTATTTATCAACAAAAAAACAAAATTGTTTTTTTTTCTATCAAATCATCGTTTAAAGTAATGAAAATTAATAATAATAATAATACTAAATATGAAATAATAATAATAATATGTAATAAAATAAATCTATAGATTAATGAATTTTTTTCAAATATACTATATATATACTGTATATATGATTATATGAGATTATAATTAAGTGTAATTAAAGTTAAAATTAATAATAATAAAAAAACTGATTAGTGATTCATAAAATAATACTATAATAATGATAATATGATAGCAATATAATAATAATAATAATAATAAAATGATAATAACTGTTAATAACTAAAATCTATTCAAATTTATATATTATATATTAATTAATAATATATTATTTCAATAACTTTATACATATTGTTGTATATATATATATCAGTGACCAGACGTGACAATCGGACAACCATTTTCGGTATCACCGATGATTGTCTTCTCAGTGTTGTCGTCACTGGCGCTTTCATCACTGGCCGGTGCACTACTATTACTACCAGTGCTGCCGCCGCCGCCGCCGCCGCCGCCGCCGTTAACATTGGTCACTACCGAACAGCCATTATTGTTATTTAGCTTTTGTTGGGCTTTCTTCGACAGACAGGCCACTACTGACGATATGTTAGCCCGGGTTCGGCTACCGATTGGCGGACTCTGCGAACTGATCGGCTGATCGACGACAACGACTTTGCCGCCTGACGTCGTTAGCAAAGCTACAGGACTACTGTTGCCGACAGTATTATCGGACGTAACGGCCAGTGATTCCTCATCGGTGGCCGAATCCATGGCGTCCATATCGTCGGCATCTTCGCTCATTACGACGTCTTCTTCTTCTTCAATTAGACTTGAAGTGTCCGACTGGAGCCGCAATTTTTTGTTGGGTGTAGTGTTGGCTGCGTTAGAGTCGTCCAAATCGTCCGATAAGTCTTCGTCGGCAATGGTTTCGTTGGTGTCATCGGCGGTGCCGTTGGTTTTCGGCGAAACCGACGAACGATTGTTGTGGTTATGGTTGCCGTTGTTATTGTTAAGCAACAACTTGTTGTTGACAACGGCTACACCGTTTGGCGATCCCATTAGTGCACGGAAAGCCTTGTCGGCCATCGATCGGTCGGTAACTTTGCCCATAAAGTTGCGAATTTCATTGAAATACTGTTCCTCTGTTGACGACACCAATTGTTGTTTGCTATCTCCGCCACCATTGGCTCCCAGCTTAGTCGTCGGACTGTCCATAATAGTAGGTCCATCTGATTCATGTTTTTTCAGATGACGATCCAAATTGGTTTGCTGTCCGAAACACCGGTCACACAGCGGACACTTAAACGGCTTTTCTTTATTATGAATGTTGCGGACGTGGCGCTGAAGATTGGATGATATACTGAACGATCGTTCGCAGTATTTGCATTTGTATGGCTGTTCACCGGTATGTGTCCTCAGATGACGGGTCAAGTTGGCCGATCGGGGGAAAACTTTACCGCAAAACTTACAGGTATATCGTTCCTTGGCTTTGATCATTTGGGGCGACATCAGCTCCTGGTGGTGGTTGTGGGGCTGTTGTTGTTGTTGGGGTTTCAGTTTGTCGGACATATGGGCGCGCATAAAGTCAAACGTTGCCTGGGCTGCGGCAGCCGGTGTAGTGCCCAACAGTGCCGGATTCAGACCCATCGGATAGCGGGCGGCGGGAAATGCCGGAAAGGCTGCTTGCGAACCGACTCCACCAGCGGACAGTCGGCTATTATTATTATTATTATGGTGATTGTGGTGCTGTTCGTTGTTGTGATTGTTGTGGTGATTACCGCCAAACATTGGAAATGCCGGAGCTGTCGGTGTTGTTGTCTTATTGTGGAGTTGTTGTTGTTGTTGTTGTTGTTGTTCAACTTGCATGCGATACATACTTTCCAATAGCATTGGATGTATGGGCCGGGGATAGGCCAACAATTTCGATGGCGACAGTGGCCGCTGAAAGTGCTGGTCAATCGATTTGGGACTATGATTCTGATTGTTGTTGTTGTTGTGGTGGTTGTTGTTAAACATGTGACCGCTGGTCGGCGACGATTGGCGAGACTTTTCTTCCGCTGCCAACAGCATAGCCCGGTGTCGGGCCAACAGTTCCTCGTAGTTGTTGCCCATTGCCTGTAGAGCCGAATGAGGCGACAAACTGTTGCCATTGTGGTGATGCTGATGATGATTATTGTTATTATTATGATTGCGGTGATGATTGTTGTTGCCATTGTGGTGATGGTTGTGGTGATTATGATTATTATTATTATTATGGCTGTCCTTTTTCGGGCTAATAGTTTTGACGCTCAAATCAAGCGGTTCGTCGGCAGCCTCTTCGCGCACTTTGGACTTAAATTCGGGCGAATCTTCGAGCAGTGGCCGACGTCCGCCGACGCCATGCGATTTACCGCCGCTATGACGGGACAAATCGAACGGCAATTCGCTGTGCAAATGGTCGACCATTAGCGACAGCGGCCGTATATAGCCGTTAGCCGAAATCATCTGAACGGGACAAATGGCTCCCTGTTTTGGCGATGACTCGCGATTGCCAGACATATCGTTGTTGTCGTCTTTTTTGTTTTGTTGGATCTCCTGTTTGTTAGTGTCGTCAGTGATTATTTCGTCTGTTTTTTCGGTATCAGCTTTTGTTAGCTGTTTGTCCTCTTTTTTGCGACGATCAACAACTTCGGCGTCTGAGTTGTCACTGTCGTCACCAGTGATGGCAACCTCTTCTTCCTCCTCCTCGTCGTCTTCTTCTTCTTCTTCCTCCTCAGTTAGCTCTTCGTCTGCGTCGACGTCCTCTAAATCGGAGGTACGTTCTTCAGACAGATCAGTGGCTAAGCTTTCGCTTGATTGGGACAACTGTTTGTTTTTGGTTAGACCCTAAAAAAATCATACATTTTTATATTGATATACATAAGCTATTAATGCAACAAAAAAAACTAATTTTTTTTTTAGATTACATACCTCTAGGTTAGTGTCGGCGACTGAATCAATGGGTTTCCTATGAAATTCACTCAAAGATAACAGTTGTTCTCTTCTAGTATTCAGACGATCCTTACTATCGGGTGATTCGTCTGATAATACCTGTCCACTCTGTGCACTAGTAGACTGTTTATTATTATTACTACTACTGTTGCCGTCGATATTATTATTATTATTAAAACTACCGGTTGGCGATAAAAAACTATCGCTATTACAGCCAATACTTGTTGCCGAATTGTTGACGGCTAGAGGACTGGTCAGCAGGGCTGCTGATGGTGGTAGCGGTAGCGGTAACGGTGGAGGCGGTAGATTAGCACTGGCCGGAAATAGGCCGGGAAACGATGTGGCAAAAAACGGCGGATAAAATGGAAATCCGGGTCGCGTTTGAAATGCCGATAAAAACGGATTATTGGCGGCGGCAACGGCACTCTGGGCTTCGGCTAGAGCTGCGGCTATTGACGACGGGTCGGTTGCGACGGCGGCGGCTGCTTTTCTGATGGCCGCACTGTTACTGTCCGGCGACGATAGGCCCGGTGACGATAGATTTAGTAGACCGGCTATCGATCCTCTCTGATGGTGGTTGTTGTTGGGCGACGATAGCGGCGATGATGATGACGCTGCTGTTTGATGTCGGACACGACCACCGGCGGTAGCGGCTGCTGAACTACCTTCGCAAAAACGTTTATGTTTGGACAGTGAGGTAACCGTACTGAATGCCTGACCACACTTATTACACTTGATCTGTAGCCGACAGTTTGCGTGCATACGCTTATGGCGGCAAAGATTGGAAAACTGGGTGTAAGCCTTGAAACAGACCTCACAGCGAAACGGTTTGACACTACTGTGGATATGGGTGTGCTGTTTGAGGCCGGAACTGGTAGCAAATGTTTTGCCACAATCAGGACAGGCGTGACTACGGGCACCGATATGCTGGCTGCGGATGTGTCGCTGAAGATTTGACGGATCGGTAAATACTTTCTTACAATTTTCGCACGTATAGCGGCGGCTGTCGTCGTGGGCCACCTGATGGCGGATTAGATTGGATTTCCAATTGAATACTTTCGGACACTGGTTGCACTTGTATTCACGATCACCGCCTCCGCTATCGTCTTCGCCGTTGTACGATATAAACGATGGCGAGACCTGTTGTTCCTCCTCCTCCTCGTCCGCTTCAATAGGCGAAACTTGTTGTTGTTGTTGGTGGTGGTGGTGATGGTTATTGTGGTGATGATGATGACGCTTAACAACACTAGTTTCTACGTGAAGTGGTTGCTGTTGTTGTTGTTGTTGTAGTTGATGGTGAAGATGATGGTGTGGTGGTTGTTGTAGTGATTGTTGATGATCTACGCGCTCCGGTAGTCTATAATAATAATAAAGCAATAGAAGATAATACACAAAACTTTTATTTTAGCCATAATTTTTTTGATGCACAGAATATTCATATAATTTATTTCATAAAAAATATATATTATTCACGTTTTTATTTGTGTGTAAATATATTATTAATAATTTAAAAAAATAAATATATTTATCAATCAAAATTCAGGCACATTTATATATGTATAAAAATATTCATTTAAAAAAATAAATAAATATATTATATATCAATATAAAGATTTATATATATTATATATACATAAGCACAGGCACTGGCACATACACCACACACATATAGATAATATATATATATAGAGAGACACACACAYACACTCTCCTCCACAATATATAAAAAAATAAAGTTTTTTTAGTTTAAAGAGAGTTTTGTTTGGTTGTATGTGTTAACCGCTTGTGCTCTCTCGCTCTCTCTCTTTCTTTCTCTCTCTCTCTCCAATGTGTGTGTGGACTGATGGAGCACTGGAACTAAACTAACTGAGCGCTCCAGAGATACCTGATGTTAAAGTGTGGGCATTGCACTGTCTTTTTTGTTACAGCTGGCACTATTGCTCCAGATTATTAGCACCGATCGAGAGAGTGGTATGTGTTTGCATGTATGTATGTGAGCGGAGTGAGTAGTGAGAGCACAGTTAGTTTAAGTTAGGTGTGTATACCTATGTGTGTGTGTGTGTGTGTGTGTGTGTGTGTGTGTGTGTGTGTACGTCAGTCAGTTAGTGAGTGCACTGTTCCTTAACGAAATCAAAAAGACTTGAAATGATAGATAGATACGATACGATTGTTGTAAATAGTTTGTTGGTATGTGTGTGTGAGTTAGATGGAGAGCACAGGTATTACTGGTATAGTCAAGGGTGTGTATGTGTGTGTGTGTGTGTTAAGTAGTAGAGATTTTTTTTAAAAAAATGTTTAAAAGTTACACTTATTTTATTTAAAATAAAGTTAAGTTATTAGTTAAAGATCTCTCTCTCTCTCTCTCTCTCTCGCGCGCTTATGTATGTATAGGGTATAGTACATTATGTATAGTAGTAATGTATAGTATCTTACAGTTTAAGTGAGTGTATTACTGACACACACACACAYACTGATAGCTAAAGTTTGCCTCAGGCATCGGTGTGTTTATATGGTATACAATATATATATTATATACAGTACCTGTTGATCAATGAGTTGGTGAGTGAGTGTGTGTGTGAAGAGAGAGAGAGAGAGAGAGAGAGAGAGAGACGACTAATAATATAATAGTAATAGTATTTAGTAACGGAAGGACCAGTTTTTTTCATAAAACACAAAATTAAAACTTTTTTTCCACTCATAAAGCAGTTTTAGATATCATATATTTCTCTACAATTACGCCATATATTCACATACCATATGATATATACTGTATATTATTAATATATATACAGTATATCTGTATAATAGTGTATATTATTTTTTTAATGAATAGATACGGTTTACATAAAAGTAAAAATTTTTTATTATATGACTCTTTTGTGTGTGAAATACTTGACTGACAAAAAAAACTTTTATATACATTATATTATACAAGTATATGAAAAAATTATATATAATCTTAAGTCCATCTAAATATATTTTGTATGTATAGTAGTTTATGTAGGAGTTTACTGACATATACAGTGTAATCCTATTATATATATATATATATATTTTAGTTCTCTCTCTCTCTCTCTCTCTCATTCATTCATTCATTCATTCATTCATTCATTCACTCACTCACTCACTCACTATGTATTCAGACAAATAACTGACAAAAATTAAAAACTATTTTTGTTTAAAATAAAATTTGTTAACATATTTAAAATCAATATATTTATTTTTTTGTTGTTGATTTATATTATACATATGTAGAGATACATTCATTGATAATAATAATACTGTACTATATCTTTACATCGATATATGATTTTTATTTTTGAATAATAATAATACAGTATATACTGTATTAATACTAATAATAATATAATAGCCAAAAATAATAATTGCATAATAATTTGATTGTAGCTCATGTAGGTTTGTATGTATGTGTGTRTATGTCATATATTTTTAAAGACACTTCCAGCAATTCACACACACGTATATATACTGTATATATATATATATATATATATATATATATATATATATAACTTTTCTTAACATAAAAGATTATATATTGTATTTTTGGCCGAAAAACACTTAAAATTAATACTCAAAATTTTTTTTTGTTTAGTGAAAAATTATGAACCAAATATTATACATAATAATAATAATAATAATAATAAAATAAAAATCATAATAAATGTGGCTTTAAATTTGTTAATATATTGTACACATACTGTACACACACACACACACAAAGTGTATTAATCAGAGCGGTGACAGTGGACGCTCTGGTACACCAAATAACTGGCCAAACGGTTATAACACACACACACACACACTATATGACATAATATCACACATACACACACAAAATATATGAAAATTTTGAGTTTAAAGACAAACTATTATACAAAAAAAATAAATTATAATAATAATCATTATTATTATTTTTTTATATATTTTCTCGGACATACATATGTATTATGGGTACAATCCGTTTATATCGCACGGGTATATTATATTTGTATACTGTATATATAGTACTAACTAACTATTACCGGTATGTATATATTGTATGACTAACCAAATATAATTTGCCTAATAATCATAACTGTTATATGAATATCCTCTTATATATATACAGTATATACTGTATATAATATATAACTGTGTTATCTATAAATATCTTTCATACAAATACAGTACATATATATATATATACATTATATAATCACTTATATAGAAGTAAATCTAAATGATTATCATTTTTTTCAGTCGACACTTATGTATATATATATATTGTGTAATCAGAAAACATTTTGAGATAATTACTATTACTATTCAACAAAAATGCTATGCTCTGTATACATATATTTAAATACTTTATATATATTATATTATATTGTTGTATATACAGTATATTATTTTTATCATTATTATTATTTGTATATTTTAAGTGTCCATCAAAATTGGCTGTCCAACAACAACAAAAATTTCAAAATGACATCAAATCATATATAATAATAAATAAATAATATTAATAATAATATAAGATATAAGACACTACTTGAGTGTCATAGTATCTCTCTCTCTCTCTCTCTCTCTCTCTCTCTCTCTCTCTCTCTCTCTCTCTCTCTCTCTCTCTCTCTCTCTCTCTCTCTCTCTGTTCTCTGTCCTCTTAAGCGCACCGGGAGTTTGACGACTTCGACACATAATAATAATCATCATATAATACTACCTCATTGATTGTGAATGAATTATATTATATATGCACTTAAAGAGAGCACAGGTATGTGTGTGTGAGAGAGAGATCAGGTTAGAGGAAATGATTTGCGTTTAGAGATAAACAGTAAACATATAGAAATCATACAAAAATCTTTAATACAATAGTATATATTATATATATATAAGTGATGGAGAAATATATCTTTACATTTGATTACATAAATGTTTTTATATCTATTTTCTTGTGGACATCAAAGGACATTAGATATCCAACAAAAATAAAATAAAATAAATAAATTGCTTTTGAATATAAAATAATAATAATAATAATATTACAAAAAATAAGTTGCATTACATCAAATCACACACAAACAAAAATGCAAATCATATCTTATGAATTGTCAAACATATTATCTGTATATTCAGTATATATAAGATAAATAAATAAATACATATTTTTAAAAAATACTGTATAATTCCTACTTATACTTTATATATATATATATATATATATATATATATATAGTATACAGTATATACTGTATATTTTACAGCAAATACTTAATATATAGATAAATAGATAGATATACTTAAAAAAAAATTTACGGACAAAATACTGTATCATATTATCATTAAAATCTCTCTCTCTCTCTCTCTCTCTGTGTCTTTACTCATATACTGTGAGTGTTTTAACGTTTGTTTTAAAACACATTCATTAATATTTATGACAATATATACATTATATATTAAAATGTAAAAAAACTTTTATATATATTTTGTATTTAGTTTTTCCCTCCCTCTCACTCATCACACAAACAAACAAACAAAAATAATTAGCTAATACATTGGAAATATTCAACATAGTTTATATATATATACGGTATATTAGTAGTGAAATATAATATCAAAATATTTAAATATATATCAACAACAAAAAAACCAACAAAAAAATATCAATCTACCTGCACTTAAGGGGATATACATATTTATTTAATTTTTTTTACAATAACATAGATATAATACAGTATATATATATTAATATAAAAGATTTAAATGTTTGGCCCATATTTTATTTTGATAGTCATGTGTAATCTTTAACACAATACATAACATATATATACATACATATGATATGTATATTTATAACACTATAGATATGATATACATGTTATGGTCAATAATAATATAAAAACATGTTATTGTAATTTTGAATCTTCAATTTATTTTTACCTTTCATATTATTATTATTATACAGTATATACAGTATATTCAACATTATGTTTGATAATAATAATGCAAAAAAAAAAGTTTATAATTGATTACACAGTGTCTATGTATAACATCCCAAACACATACATATACAATGAAAATAAAAATTATTAATAAAATTTTTCTTATTTTTTTCAATTACTATAAACACAAATATATAATAATAATAATCACATTCAATAATAGTAAATATAAATAAATAAATTAAAAAAATTATAAACCACACAAACTAGACATATGTATTACATAAATACTGTACTGTATATATATATATATATATATATACCGTATATATACAGTACATACACAACATGTAGACAGCAATATGATATTAAACCACCCTATCCTCAAGGCATAGGCATTGAATAGCGCAAT